ATGCTCGATCACCACTTCCCAAAGCAGTTACTGTACTCCCAACTCAACAACAGGAAATGTACTGTTGGTGGACAGGAAAAGAGATTTAAAGATGGGCTTAAAGCCAATTTCAAAAACTGTGGCATAGACACCAAGAATAGAGAAGCTCTGGCCCTTGTGTGCTCTAACTGGAAGTCAGCTGTGACCATCAGTGCTGCAGAATTTGAAGAGGCATGAGTGGAGAGTGAAAGGGAGAAATGTGTTAAGGGGAAGGTAGGTAAAAGGTTTTCCCCTGACATGAAGTCTAGTCATGTCCGACTCTGGAGTGTGGTGCTAATCTCCATTTCTAAACCAAAGAGCCGGTGTTGTCCATAGTCACCTCTGAAGTCATGTGGTCGGCATGACTGCATGGAGCGCCCTTCCCACCAGAGCGGTACCTATTGATCTACTCACATTCGCATGTTTTTGAACTGCTAGGTTGGCAGAAGCTGGGGCTGACAGCGGAAGCTCACGCTGCTCCCTGGATTCGAACCTGCAACCTTTTGGTCAACAAGCTCAGCAGCTCAGTGCTTTAACCCACTGCACCACTGGGGCCACGAGGAAGGCACATCAAGCCAACCCTGACCAGGACCGCCTTCCACTTGGAAACCAATGTCCTCACTGCAGGAGAACATGTGGATCAAGAATAGGGCTCCACAGCCACCCATGGACCCACCATCAAGAGGACCACACCTTGGAGGACCATCATTCTCGAGCTAGGAGGGATCGTCTAAGGAAGGAAGGATATGGCTGTGTGGAAAGCCCCTAGGAAGCAGGATTTTGCCTTTCAAAGGCAAGGTGCCTCAAAATATGGCTGGATCTACACTGCCCTATATCCCAGGATCTGATTCCAGATTATTTGCTTTATATGAGGCCCCTTTCCTACAGCTGTATAAAATCCACATTGAACTCAGGCCCCTTCCACACAGCTGTGTAAAATCCCACATTATCTGTGTTGAACTGGACTCAGATCACCCAGTTCAAAGCAGATATTATGGATTATCTGCCTTGATATTCTGGGTTATATGGCTGTGTGGGAGAGCCCTATGTAACACAAGTTTTGTTCCTGGTTTCTAAATGTAATTTCCTAATTGGTTCTAACATTAAAACATGGGAAAATTTATTAAGCTGCCAAAACCTTGTTTTTGTGGGATGTCTTGCAGCACATTTTGCTATGGCTTTTCAATTAATATCTGCTAAAATCACCAATTCAACATCATTTGTGGCAGCCACAAAACCAAGTTTTTGGAGTATAGCAACAACTTTCAAAGTAAGTACTTTGCACAATTAATCCGGAAATAACACTTTCAAACCAGGAACGGAAAATTATTTCAAATATTGTTACGTAGTGCTGTGTTTCAAAGGCAAGGTGCCTCAAGCTAAGTTACCCAAGCAGTGTCAGCATTAAACATTAGAGGTCAGGGCTGTCAAATTCATTTCCCTCCAGGGCTGTATCAGCCTTAAGGTTGCCTTCAAAAGGCCCTTGAATCCCTAGATAGAGAATCCATGGATACAAAAGGTCAGCTATATATTTTTTATAGCTCTTAAGTTTTTTACCCAATTTGGGTCACTGGATGTTATTGGGTGACCTACAAGAAGCACTGCCTGAACATCAAGCAAAAAGTGGGCGCTAGAAACAATATCACATGAAAGCTGACTGGCACAACCTGGGGATCACAACCAGATACAGTGAAGACATCTGCCCTTGCACTATGCTACTCTGCTGCTGAGTATGCATACCCAGTGTGAAACATACCTCACCACGCTAAAACAGTGGATGTGGCTCTTAATGAGACATGCCGCACTATCACGGGGTGTCTGCACCCTACACCACTGCAGAAATTACACCTTTTAGCCAGTATTGCACCACCTGACATCTGCCGGGAAGTAGCAGCCAATAGTGAAAGGACCAAGGCAGTGATCTCTCCAGCCCATCCCTTGTTTGGGTATCAGCCAGCACGTCAACGAAATAGTTTTCTAAGATCTACAGAGACACTTGCTGGAACACCTCA